CCCATGCGCCGCCCCCGTCCCCTCCGGCAGGGCGTCGCCCCCGCCCTGCGCACGTACAACACGCTCATCATCGCCTGCAACATGTGCAACCAGCCGCGCGAGGCGCTGGGCGTGTACCAGGAGCTCCTCGCCGAGAACTTCGCGCCCAACTCGACGACGTACAACGCGCTGATCAGCGCCTACGGCAAGCTGGGGCAGCTGGACAAGGTCCTCGAGGTGTGTTTGCTGTGCGTGGCCCTCATTGAAGTTGGAAGGGGCGGCGTCACCTCAAAGCCTGAGCTGCAGGCGGGCGGCAGAGGGGGCAGAGAGCGGGCATGGGTTGCCCCCCAAAGGCGGCGGACTCGGCAGGGCAAGGCGCCGTCCGCGCAGGGCGCACTCGGTCAAGGTCGCGCCGGCTGGCGGTTCTCCTTGCAACAAGCTTCCGCACCACTCTGCACTGCCTGCATCCTGTTTTCTGGACTGTCGGGGTCCAGACAAGCCCCGACGCCTTCACTGCCTCTGCAACCAATTCAAACCCACACCCCCGGCCCAGGTGTACAAGGACATGGTGTGGAAGGGCCTGGAGCGCAGCGTCATCACGTACAGCAGCCTCATCAGCGCCTGCGAGAAGGCCGGCCGCTGGGAGACGGCCCTGCAGCTCTTTGACGAGATGACGCGCGACGGCTGCAGCCCCAACACGGTCACCTACAACTCCCTCATCACCGCCTGCGGCCAGGGTGCGCCGCTTTGGGGCTCGCGCTTTTTGGCGCAGGGAGGGGGAGGTGTGCGCGGCTTGTTCTGGTTGATTCAGTTTGGCCCCACGTGTTTTGGTTTTTGTGTGCACGCCAACGGGGCTTAAGCTTGTACAGCGAGTGTCACTTCCTTGCAAGCAAGTGCGCGTGCCCGGCGCGAACACGTGTAACGCAGGCCAAAAACCCTCACACCCCCCCTCACACCCCCCCCCCGGCTGCGCAGGCTGCCAGTGGGAGAAGGCGCAGGCCGTCTTTGAGCAGATGCCCGCCACCGGCTGCACGCCGGACGTCGTCACCTACACCTCCCTCATCTCGGCCTATGAGCGCGGCGGCCAGTGGCACCTCGCGCTGCAGGCCTTCCAGCGCATGCTCGCGCAGGGATGCCGGCCGGACGCCATCGTCTACAACGCGATCATCGACGCCCTCTGGCAGACCGGCGTTGTGTGGGCACAGGTGCGGCGCCCGGCGGCGCGCTTGGGGCCGCTCATTTGGCGGCTGGCTGACATCCTCGTGGGCGTGTGTTGGCTGCTGCGTTTCAATGACTGGCTTCTGACTGGTGTGCCGACGCACAAGCCGCGGGCTCGTGCCTTGAAACAAATGGTTGACGCGCCGCGTCGCCCCTCGGCAGGCCACCGCGCTGGAGCTGTACCACTCGGCTGTCAAGCAGGGCCACTTCCGCGCCCCCCGCGTCAACGGCCCCGGCGATGGCAGCGGGACGGGCAGCCCCACGGCAAACTCTCCAGCGGCGTTCGCGCCCGGCGGCCCCGGCGGCCCCAGCGGCCCCGGCGGCCCCGGCGCCGGCGCGCCGCTGGGGGGCGCGGGCGGGGGCCGTGGGGAGCTCAACCTGCACGCGCTCACGGCCGGCGTGGCCATGATCAGCCTGTACCTGTGGCTGTGCGACCTGCGGGACGTCGTGACGGCGCGCGGCGACGGCGCGCTGCCGGCGGCGCTGGCGATCGTGACTGACGCGGGCAGCAACAGCAAGGAGCAGGTGGGGCCGCGCGGCGCGGCGCCCAGGCCGCTCGGATCGGAGGCGCGTTTGTGTCCGCAGCTGCTGAGCTGTCGGGGTTGCGGTGCATGGAGGTGATTGCACGAGCGGTGTTGCGGTCGTACCTCAACGTGCGCGTGGGCGTCCCCCTTTGCCCCCCTCATCCCGGCCCCCAGGGCAACTTCATCATCAAGGAGGCCGTGTCCACCATGATGGCCTTCTGGGGCGCGCCCTTCAAGCCCTCCCAGGACAGGTGCGCCGCGGGGCGCGGGCGCCCCCCTCTCCCCCCCCTCTCACCGCACCGTATTGATCCGGCAGCCTGCCACGGCTCTGGTCCATCCAGGCACCCGCGGCGCCAGCACTGGGTATGCACCGCTGCGCTCTTGACAGCGCCTCTTCGGCTTGGAATGTCACGTCGTGACGAACTTTCCCCCTGTGATGACGCCTTGGCGGCCGCGGCGCCCGCAGGTCTTACTTGGGCCTGCTGGAGGCGTCGGGCCCGGCGGTGGCGCAGTGGGTCCGCACCGACGCGTTCTCCGCCCAGCTGGCCTCCCTCTTCCCCGCCTCGGCCGCGCCGCCGCTCGGCGCCGCCGACGCGGCCGCCGTGCTGGCCCACGAGCAGGCGGCGCGCGGCCAGTGCGACGAGGCGTTTGCCGCGGTCGCGCGCTTTGAGGCCAGCCACAGCCTGCAGCTGGGCAGCATGGCCGGCGCTTACCTCGGGCAGGTGGGCGGCCCCCTTGGCTCTCTTGCCCACTCCAGCGGCACCTCGCCCCGCCTGGCCCCTGCTTGCCCCCAACTTGCACCATCGTCTCTGCGTCGTCGCCGCCCATCGTGCCCTGCCTGCGCGCCCTTCTCCCCACACAAGCAAGCTTGCGTGCACCGCCCATCCCCTGCACTCCCCCGCCCTCAACCAGAGTGCCCCTGACCGCGCGCACGCGTACACACACACATACGCACGCACGCACACACACACACACACACACACACACAACCCCTCCCGCCTCGCCCCTCGGCCGCGCAGCGCACGGGCCTCGTGTCGTCCATGCTTGAGGCGGGCGCTGCGCTGGGCCTGAAGGACGAGGTGGTGCACGACGGCGTGCTGCTGCTGGACAGGACCCTCAGCTCTGTGCAGCAGGTGGGGGCGGGGCAGGTGGTGGTTACGCAGGGAGTGTACGCGTGTGCGTGCGTGGTGTGTGCGCAGGGGGGAAACGTGTGTCTTTGTGCGTGCATGAGTATGCCTGCACGCTTGCCTATGTGAGGGGGATGTGTGCGGGAGAGAGGGTGTGAGGGGGTGGGTGCGTGGGTTGGTGGGTGGGTGGGTTGGGTGGGTGTGGGCGCGCGTGCACGTTGCCCGAGCATGTTGTGTTGGTTGAGTGCGCTGCCTGTCGCTAGGCTGAGCTCGCCCCTCTGCACGCCTCATACGCCCTCCGCGCCCCCTACCTGGACCCCATACCCGGTCCCCCGCCTCCCGTGCCCCGCAGGCCCCTGCCGAGCTGCTCCCCCTAGTGGCCGGCGCTGCGCTCCGCCTGAGCGCCGTGCAGGGCGAGGGCGCCGCCGGCGCGCCGCCTACGGCCGCGGTCGCGGCGGCGGCGGGGCTGGACGCGACGTCGCTGGGCGTGATGGAGGGCAACGTGGCGCGGCTGCTGGGCGGCGACGCGACGGCCATCTCTGCGATGAGGTGCCTGAAGGTCTACCTGGAGCGCATGGGGTACAGGTGCGGGGCGAATCGGGGGGCGGGAAGCGGGGTCTGGATGGGCCCTGCACGCGTACGCACAGGATGGCCCCTACTTGCACGCGGGTGCGCGCGCGCATGCGCACACACACACACACACACACATGCACTCCCTCTTTCCTCTTCCACCCATCTGAACCGCTTAATCGTCTGCGCGCACAACAGCGGGAAGACCTCATGGCTCCGACACCGCCCCACACACACACATACACACATCAAACAAAACCCCCCTTTGCAAACCCACTCTCACAACCCCAAAGGTTCCTCGACCGCCGCGGCATCTACGCCGTGGCCGGCCTCCCCATCATGCTCGCCGTCGAGGCCGCCTTCGACATGAGCCTTCTCAACTGCCGCCCCTCGGCCGTGGCTGCTGCGGTGCTCTACGCGGAGCGCCGCCAGCGCGGCGCGGTGCCGTTCTGGCCGACCATGCTGGCCAAGATGACGGGCTACGAGGACCTGGTTACGCCGGAGCTGGCTGTCGCCGTGCACGCCGCGCAGAAGCTGTGCCGCAAGGTGCTCTACACGCAGATTTACAAGGCGCAGGCGACGGGCCTCGCGGCCGGCGCGCGTGGCGGCGGCGCGGTCAGCGGCCCCGCGGCCCAGGTCGCGCCGGTGGCAGTGGCGGCGGCGCAGCCGCAGCAGCAGCTGCTGCTAGCCACGGCGCGGCAGGCGGCGGCGGTGGCGCTGCAGCAGGCGCCGTTGGGCCACCAGTGGGTGCCGATCGCGCCCGCGCCCGCGAGCGCCCCCCTCCAGCAATTCCAGGCGCTGGCGCCGCTGCAGCGGCAAGTGTCGGTGGCCGCGGTCCCGGCCTGTGCCCCCGCCCCGGCCCCTGTCGCTGCAGACGACGGGCCGCTGCTTTTTGAGAGCCTCGCGCTGTCACTGTCGTCCCTCGGTCTCGGCGGGGGCGACCTGTCGGCCGCTGCGCTGGGTGCGGCGCTGCAGTGACCAGCCCCGGCCCGCACCAGGCCCTGCCCGGCGCCGTGGCGCCCCCCTGGCGGGCAGCTCGGCCCTGGGAAGGCTCCAACGGGCGTGTGCGCCGCGTGGGGCCGTGATACCATTGTCGGGCGCCACGACTTTTCCCGCGGCGCCTCGAGATTCGTGTTCCCCAATCAGCGGCCCGTGATCATCCGTCGCGCCGCGCGTCATCAAAGGGGTCGCCGGCGGCGCCCCGCACCAGCCGCTTAACCGGCGCCCCTTGCTGGGCCGCGCCTCGCACGCCCGCGCGCGTGTGGGCGCGCCTCTTTTTGGCTTCCTCTATCGCCTGAGAAACCATTGCCGCGCGATCAGTGCCAAGATGGTCGGCGGCTTTACCGTGAAGGCAGCCTAAATTCGCTCATGCACATACCGATTGCGATTCCCAACAGCACGCCCCGCGGCCAAACTCCCAATGGCTGCCAGGGCACATGGATTCATCATAACAGTTGAACACTGCTTATCCACCTCGACCCGCGTTCCGCGCGCGGGGCCGGCAGGCACCCGGCTCTCTGCCGGGCGCCCTCCGCCGCGTATGCGACGCGCGGGTGGGGGCTCCGCCGCGGCCGCCCTTGGTTTGGCGCCACAGCAGGGGCCACGCGCCCTGCCCCTGCGGACAGCGCACGCCGCGGGGGGCTGCTGCAGCCCAGCACCTGCGAACCGTTGCTGAGGAGTGGGCGAGCGTGGGGGCCGGCCTGCCGCCCCCTGTGGCGGCGGCCGGGGCTCCCTGTCCCTGCCGCCCACTGCACCCCAACGCGTTTGCACCGCTGCTGCGCAACACCCCGGTGGCGCGGGAGACTTGTCTTTGCGGATTGTTCAACAAAGAAACAGTACCTGACGCACCGCGCGACGGCGCGGCAGCATCAAGGCTGCCGGCGACGACGGGGCGCGCGCGGTCGCGCGCCGGGCACGCTAGTGCCCTGCTGCCGCCGCGACCCCCGAGCCGGGGCGCGATTCACGGATGGCCGACGCCGCCCTTGCCGCGCGGGCGCCTCGTGCGTGGATTCTTGTCCCTCGGCTGTATGCAATTCGCCGGCGGCCTTCAGTCCCAGCCGCCGGGCGTGTTTGCAAGCCTGCAAAGTGCCCTCGCACACTGCCTGGGCGCCGCGCGTGAACCTCACGCGGAATGCGGTGCCGCCCTCTTGCCTGCTCGCCGGACCGCCACACAAACACTTTCAATGCACTGCAAAAGCGCCGCGCAACAAAGCGCAACGCGCGGCTCTGCTTGGGGGCGGGGCGCTGCTGGCGCCTGCGTGCGCGAGGCCTCGCTCCGCTCCAGGGGTTGCGTCACATCAGGGCTTTTCTGGGGCGGGGCAAGGGGCCCCTCACAAAACTCCCACAGCCTTCGCTTTTCTCACTCAACCAATCTGGCACCCAACAGCCGCCCGGCGCGGTCCGCGCAGGTCTTTCGACCGCGGCGCCCGCGCCCGCGC